GGAGATTGTGTCAGCTAAGGCCTACCCTACGGTCATCAAGTATGACAACAACATCTTAGATGCCACAGGGTTTGCAGAGTGGCTTGGGAAGATGATGAGAAGTGGGGTGTCGACCCTTGTGGTGGGAGGGTGTACGACCACCAGCTGTGTGCGTGTGTCGTCCTCACAGATCCAGCGCTCCTTTTCCAACAGTGGGCTGCAGGTGGTGGTTGACCTCAGTCTTTGCAGTGCTCGTGACAGTAACTACGTCCCGCGGTGCCAGGCCTGCATGGACAAGTACATGATGTATGGTATGGACTGCACCTGTGACAGGTGTGTCACTCCAGGTGTTCCAGCTGTCTCACCTGTGGACAAGGCCATGGAATACATGAGGGAATCAGGTGTCCAGGTGGTCCAGGGGTTTGACTGGACACCATTTGTTGAGGAATGATGAGGTATTGTGTAAAGTATTGAAAGGCACAATAGGTTTTGCATATTCTCTACTCAAAATTCAACATTAATCAAATGTCTTAACTTGTGTTTACCAACCACCACCTACCAGTTAATTAATAATGTTCTTTGAATGTCCTGTGGTGCTAGTCACAGATATCTAACTACTTTAGATTGGATTAGGTGGTTAAGATTACTTTTGCACATGAAAAACATTATTATGAATGATTAGACCTATGTTGACACTGATAGTTTCAGTGGTGGCAGGGATGTTGAAAACTGTAAAACACGAATACAATGATATAAGGGACTACAGCCAACATTATGCTACATTCTACAACTTATATGGTACTGGTACTAGTTTTGTTGGGCTTGACTTCTTTTGTGGTAGTGTAAAATGAATTTACCCACTTCTTCCATGATATGTGGGTTCTTTGATTTTAGTAGTAAAATTGTTTTCTCATGGTTAGGAATAGTGGAAAGTAAGGGTGTATTTTGAACACAGTGGTAAATAATTAACAAGTAACCTTCATGATAAGTATGTAACATATGCAGAAAAGTGTAATAAAGTGAAATACATATTTGACAATTTGTTGTCTTTAATGTATTGAAGTGAGCAATTACAGTTTAGTTTGCTTTTTTAATGATCTAGGACAATATGTTCAATATTGTTGCAGCTCAATATCCTCAGGGCAGATACAGCTTTTAGGTTTGGCTATTGTAGATAAATAGACTAAAACAAGGACTCATAAATAAGTACCTTCCCACATTTTAGTCTCAAAGATTATTCTGCAACAAGTCACAAGGGTCTGCATCCCAAATAGAAAATTTAACAGTGAGTTGACCAGCTCAAACTCTAACAACAGCTGAAAACAGTAAACAAACTCTACTTTTGACCTAATTTTCTCATGTATTTATCTGCTCTGGGCAGGCCAGACCTCATCACTTAAGTTTCTGATTATGCCCACTGAACTGGCGAAATGAACAAAACTTGACCAAAGTAGGAACATTTAGAGCCTACGTTACTTATAGCCCAAAAATCTTCAAACTGGACCAAAATTTTCAAAAGGAAAAAAGACTTTCAAAGATATTAACTTGGGACTTGACTTCTACACAATGCAATAGTGACATATGCCCATGATGTATATAATAACCAAAGATGTTAAAAAAGAACCTTGTAATAACTGATACACTGATTTCTTCCCAGCACCATGCTGCAGCACCATCTTCCAACTTGGTGCAGTACTGCACCTCCAGCTCTGATGACAAGGCTGTTAGCAGGTTCCCAATTCCCAATAGATCAACACTACCTCAAGACATACAGGACCTGATGGATGAAGTGGAAGAAAAGGTAAGGCGTTCATTTTGATCTAAAGGCCATTCAATAAACCTTACATTGAAAACACAGTACCAACATATCATCTACATGTACAACAATAGAATTAATAACATGATGCTAATTCTAAGTTAGCTCTTACATCTTCAACCAGCAGTTTGCTGAAAAATGTTTTAGAATAAGCTAGAAGAAGACAGGTTTGGTTCTATGAATCCCATGTCACACCATGTCTCTTTCTTACCCAGTCAGGGTTCCTTCCCAACGTCTTTAAGGCACTGTCTCATCGACCAGAGGAGTTCCGAGCCTTCTTCAAGTACTATGATGCCCTGATGGCGAAGGAAACGGGTAACCTGACAAAGGCCGACCGTGAGATGATCGTCGTGGCAACCAGCGCTACCAACAGCTGTCTGTACTGTGTGGTTGCACATGGAGCACTGCTGCGGATCTACTCCAAAAAGCCTCTCCTTGCTGATCAGGTGAACAACTCAATCTAAAGCCCATACATGATGCACCTATAATGTTTTTTTTGGCGACAATTGTGCCTTACGTCATAGGTTTCAGAAAAAAGGGGTTCTTGAATCTGCAACATACAGAACAGTTGTCGCATAATCTGAAATCTGCTTGAAACCCTCATCATAGTCACATATATCGTGAGATGTATATGTGACTAAGGCTTAACTGTCTTCACTTAATACATGCATGCAACGTACATTCCAGGTTCCTCTCGGGATATGATAAAGCCGTTGAATCTCAATATGCATTCCTTATCCATTAAGTTTGAAACATTCTTTCTAGATGAAATGTCTTTCCTAGATGACCATTAATATCCTTCCTTTGGTTTTTTTTAACCTAGGTTGCCACAAACTGGCATATAGCTGACCTTGATGCGAGACAGAAGGCCATTCTGGAGTTTGCCACCGCTGTGGGAGCCTCGGAAACCATCACGGAGGAGCACTTCCACAAGCTGGAACAGCACGGCCTGGACCGAGAGGACGCGTGGGACATCGGCGCCATCGCTGCTCTGTTCGCACTGTCCAACAGGATGGCTCACCTGACCGACATGAGGCCAAATGACGAGTTCTACTTGATGGGCAGGATTCCTAGGGAAAAGAAGCCGGCAACCTGAGCTTCATGATATTGATATGATAATGTTTGGAGTATTTCATCCATCATTATTTATCTCCAAATAGATAATCGATGTTTATTGATATTTAGAGGGAGGGAAAACAATATTTATGACTATTTGGTTCTGAAGTCCTTTTTACTCTAAATAAATCAAGTCTTCTCTTCCTAGTTGCTCTGGAAGATTGAGATGAAAAATGCAATTTGACTCTTGAGCTAAGTCAACCCGATTCAGAATTACTGTAAGAGTATTTAGAATCTTCAACAATGACCAAACTTTTAGGTCAGGCTTTACTGTCCTACTTGTGAAGTCTATGACTTACTTGACCAGGTTGATCAGAGAATGATGGTATTGCTTTTCATGTCAACCAGCAGGTAACTAATGTCAGGGCTGCATTTAGCATCTTGCTCACTAGAGGTCTCTTTTAGCCTGGTTATATGTATTTAAAGAAAGAATGTGTTACGACTATTTGAAAACAATGATCAGAGCAATGATAACGTTTTACTCAGAGCTTTGTGGATTCTTTCTTGTCCTGGCAAATGCAAAGATTTTGTTCTTCATTTACATTTACCATTGACTTCAAAAAGCTGCCATTGCCTCAGTCTATTCTATAATTTTTTCCTTCCCCTTTTCTCATGTTTTTCACATGCTTTTCAGTACAAGCAGCCAGCATAGAGAACTCACATACCCTGACCTGAGGCGTTTTTCCGCCTCGTTGCACCCTTAATTCGGACACGTTCAGTCAGCCTAACTCTTTTGTCTCCCTGCAGTGAACAAGCTAACAGCCAAAAAACCCTCGGGCAAACAATCCTCCAGATCTCATGTATCATATGGCAAGAAAAAGTATCTGTTTGGAAGCACCAAAGACTGTTTAAACATGAGGACAGTCATAAAATGCTGCAGTGTATCCATAGGATTTGGAAGGGACAATGTTGAGCTCAAACAGCAACAGCATAATTACTCCACACAGAGTTATCCTCATTTGTAAATGTTACACTTTGTTGTTGCAAATGTTTTTGACCCAAAAGATGTCAAAGAAATTAAGCACCAATGAACAAACACTGATAAGGGATCTATCTGGAAATACTTTTAATTCCTAACTTGCAAGTTACTGTTGTGATTGCTGGTGAAGAAGTAATCATAATGATCACTGGTACCTGAACTTGCAGGGTCTAATTTACCAGATTAGGATCATTATTATTATTACCTCTGATTTACAGAGTAGCTGATGCAGTACCCTTTGAAAAGATGATTAATTTATTTGAAACATTTCTAAATCAAACCTGAAACGTATACTACTTAAGGGGACTCATAGTCTTTTCAGTTTTACTTTCAGTCCATCATAAAACATGTCAGTCCTAACTGTGGGTGTCATTAAAAAACACAAATACCAAGGCCCTCATTTGTACAGACGTCCTAGTTTTACTCTCAACAGACACCAGATCCATTTGTCATTTTCTTTCTTGTAACTGTTTTGAGTGGTGTAAAAATCGAGGCCAGAATATCTGTAATTTGTTCCGATATACTGCCCTTGTATTTGGGTTGAAAGTAAACAAATAAATACAAAGTGTACATACATTTGGTCAAGGACACATAATGTTCGGAACCCCACTGTTATGTTACACTTGGTTTGATGGGACTTTGATGAGTATATTTGGTCACACCTGTCATGTTAATTGTTAGATCAGTAGTAAACGTGGGTTAACTGGCCAGACAATATACCGTTTGATCAACCCTATTTTGATGATCCACGGTGGATCAAACCGCTTGATCCCCACAAAATCCAGGGCCAACTTTACGATCGAATAACTCTTCATGGGGCTTTTCCCTAAATACATGCTGTAGTTCGACACTCACAAACGTTGAAATCGTGGTAAGCTTGCTTTTTGTATGTGAACAATGAATAACAAACAAACAAACAAACAAACAAACAATGTGCACGGGCTAAAAGCCCATGTCCTAATTTACATGCTCTCACTTATTATTCACTTATCCGTCTTCGTATTTTGTTACGTGGCCTGTATGTTCAACATTGTGGAATAGTCTTGGGAACAATTTAAACTTGGCTCACCATGCCATGCAAGGGGGGCACATGTAAGCATATATAGAATAACAAACGTGAATAGAGGCAAGCATTCATATAGATACTAGAGGGATGCAGGTGTAACACGCCATTACAGTCGTGTTACAACACACGTCCTCCAAATTAGCAACCATGACGCTGTTACACAGTTCCACGCTAATGGCTCGTGGCGACGACTACCTTACCGCTTCAGCGTGCCAGAGGCTGATCTGGCCGCCGACCAAGCCAAGACGCACGCCAACTAAGACTGTTTCTACTTCTGATACTCCCTCACCTGGCATAGGACCAAAATGAAATATTACCCGTCTCTCAAGGACTGTTCTCGACGTTCCAGTTGCCGCAAGGTCCGGACCAGCGCGTGGTACCTCAGAAACTTGATCTGACAAACCAAGAACAGTACAGAGCATAACAATGCACTGGGGACTCAGTTGCTCCTGTTTTATCAGGGTCGTGTTGTACATTGAATTTGACATCTTCATCATCAAATGTAACACTTGATACTAGACTTGAGGGATCGATGTCAGTTGATTCCGATTCACGACACGATATATGTAAATAATTCCAGACCAGCCCTTATTTTCATGGTCCCAAATGGTGATTTAAGAATGTTTATCAAATGCAAGATGTTATCCGAAAGACGCAGCGATTTAAATGTGCATCTGGATCCGGGGAGTTTGTTTGTATGATGTTCTTCTCCTGTGTCGTGTCTATCAACTTGCAGGGCCGGGGAGGTCAGGGTCACCCCCGCCTTCCGGACGGCGCACTTCAACTTCTTTTCTCTACAGCCGACCTTTGTTGTTGCCTCTGGCGAACAGTTTAACCCTCATGTCTCCAGTCTATGTCTACAAGAAAGGAGACCCTGTCGGAGTTTGGTTCTGAGTTTCCTTCTTCATGCCGCGAGGTTTTAAATCAAGTTTTGGGGCAAGTTGTCCTGATCTCAGGTGTATTTTGGTTTTTCATAATTTTCGCGATCAAAACTGTAATTTTGTGAGGTGCGTTATGTTATACCAATGAAAGACTGCAAGATATAGGAACCTTATTAAAAACTTTTAAAAAAATATTTGCACGACAATTGTAACAGGTACAGTGGATGACAACTTGTAGATATGTGAGAAGTTCAACTATTGCTAAGAAAGACTTATCTCCTTTTATAGATAATCGTGCAAACACTAGTTACTAGTATGCTAGTACCTTAATAACTTGTAGCAATATGCATGTCAACAACTGTATGTCGCGCCAGGAATGTATAACATCGTCTCGCCTTTGAAGAAGAAAGTCACATACAAAAGCATGATAACCATCATATACCTGTCTTTATATGTGCCTTACGTGAAGTGCTATCTTTAATCTCATAAATGAGGCTCAAGAGTTTATTAGACAA